GCTTTCCTCCTCCCTAAAAAAAAGCTTAACAACTTACCCCAAAAAGGGGGTAGATCACTGCCAGTTTTTAACTCTGTGAGTAGATCGCAGTCTCTTGGGAGTTGGCCACCCCTGGTAAATTTAAAGAAATCTGGCAATACAGGACCTACTTCAACTGATTAATAGGATTTCTGGAGTGCTTAATTACTAAGTATAGAATCCTGCAATGATGTGAATTCAGCGTGCATTCATATATATATATAGTCCAATGCAACAGACCCCTTGCACAGAACATGTGAGAATTCACCTTGCAGGCAGCCATGATTTGTGTGATGGCGGCACCCTTTTTAAACCACTGCCATTGTGCACATTTTGGCAAACCCAAAGAAATAGGGGGGTGAGTGCGGAAGGCACTGGACTCGGGGGAAATCCAGGGAGAACAGGCTCTCAAAGTGCCAAAATGTTTTATTGTGCCCAACACATTTCAGAATTCTGGTCTCTTTTTTTTGTGGGCAGCATTCCTACCGGAAACCTGTGAAGATTAACTTTCGTTTATCCTTTTTCCCTTTGCTAAATATACTCACATGCATAAATTGCACTTCACCATTTTAGCTGTTTGTCTGAATGCATCAAGAGAGGCACTAACTTTCTTTTTTCATCTCCCCAAAGCTACTCCATAAGGTCAGCTCTAATGGGCCCCCTCCTTAATACTCTGAGACTGAGGAAAGGCCAGGAACTGAGTGTCTACATTCCTTTCCAACACTCCAGGTCAGGGTCACTGTTCACAGGAAGTTGGTCTGACTATTGGCCACCCTACAATGATTCTCCCCCCCCCAATTTATATATATATATATTGTAAGACTAACAAAATCTGTCACCCTTCATCATTTAAGAAACAAGAGGGAAGGAGAAGCAGAATCACGTATTTCCCCATCCTAGATTTGTATATTCTGTAACTGTGTTACAGGGCTATTTTTGTTGTTGTGGCTTGCCGTCTTTTGTCTACTTTTCAAGCTGTAAGTGGTACATATTTGGCAAGGGAGTAAATGACAAAATTCTCAAGGGCCATCTGCAGGTCACCCAGATAGCTTAAGAAGTTTGCATTAATTATGCTGTGTTTACTACCCAAGAGGGAGTGCATTAACTCTTTCAAGCCACAATAGGTAAAACCATGGCATTTTGCTGGTGGGGGGTGGGGGATGAAAGAGATTTGGGTTTTGGGGGGGGAGGGAACTACCCTTTTAAAAAGCATTCTTTTTATGTGCCAGTCGAAAAGCTCGGCAAAAAATAAATAAATCTAAAAAGGTAGACTATTTTCTTTTGCTCTTAATCTATTTTTCCCCTGTATTTTGACATCAAACGCTGCCTGTAACCTAATCTTCTAGGTGTTTGATGTGGCCTTAGAGACATGACAATTAAGCATGGCTTAAAACATTAATCCTAACAACAGAATCCAAAGACAAGTAATGTCAGGACTCTCCACCAGCGAGAAACTCTCTCAGCGTTTGTGGAGAAAATGAGTTGCAAATGAATTTAGGCACCTAGAACACCCTAAGTGGCCTGGGTTCAGAATCCCATGGGGATCACCTTCCCGTATATGGCTCAGTCCCCATCCTTTGGAGTAGGGTGATGAGGAGTCACTACTGTATTTTAAGACTCACCACTGCTGGCAGTGAAGTTTTCCCCTACTAAGAGGAGAGCATGTCCAGTGGTGGATGAGTGTTGTGGAATGCCTTCTCTAAAGAAATCCACCAGGCATGCTCTATTGCAAACTTGAGATGCTTGACTGAAATCTGTATCGCCTCTTCCTCCAGACTTTTTATTACCTCTTGACTGGTCGCCCATCTGTCTACATTGCTACTATTAATTTTGCCAGTTGTGTCAAGCACATGATGTTTCATTAGTTTTAGTGTTGTGTTTGGTGGAGTGCGGTGGTGGTGCTCGCCTGACTTCTGGTTGTCCACACCACTGCTGCATACCAGAGCACAGAGACAGGGAAGAGTGAGGTGGCAATGAGGTTGGCATGGTGCAAACACACTGGCAGGAGAGTCGGTTTGGTTCTGCTGCTGCATTTGCACCATACTGTCCTCTCCACTGGCTCAGCCCTTTCTGTCCCAGGATGCAGCAGCATGGGTGAACAGGGGGCAGATGAGTACCACTGCCCCACCCCACCATCCACTGCTACTTATGTTACCAATAAAAGAAAAGGCAGCTGTTCTTCTTTGTACAGTGGTACCTCAGGTTAAGTACTTAATTCATTCCGGAGGTCCGTTCTTAACCTGAAATAATTCTTAACCTGAAGCACCACTTTAGCTAATGGGGCCTCCTGCTGCCGCCGCGCCACCAGAGCATGATTTCTGTTCTCATCCTGAAGCAAAGTTCTTAACCTGAGGTAATATTTCTGGGTTAGCGGAGTCTGTAACCTGAAGCGTATGTAACCCGAGGTACCACTGTGCTGAGAAAAGCAGCGTGTTCGTTTAAACAAAGCTGCATGCAGGCTTTAAATCAGGAATGGGGAACCTTAGGCCCAGCACCCAAATGTGATCTTCCAGGCCTGCTTGGCTGGCTTTTAGGAGTCTTCCCTGGCCACTATTTCTCCAGAGCCTTAGCAGCCCTGATTTGCACCCTCCTCAACTGCTTTTGCCTTCCCAGAATGTGTACGTGAACTCCGATAATGCTTCTTGCTTGCCTGGATAAAAAATAGAAAGTTTGTGTACTACTGTACACAAAATAAAATTCACTTTTGTTACTTTGCCCACTTTTGGCCCAGCTCTGCCCACCAATGGCATGTGGCCCCTGGAAGGTCACCCAGAAGGGAAGGTGACCCTCAGTCTTAAGAAGGTCCCCCGCACCTGCTTTAAATAAATAATGCTGTTTGAGATATCCTCTGTGCTTTATCATTGCAATTAAGGACAGACATTGCCCCAAGTCTTATTCTGGTTGATTTTTCAGATGCTGTACAACAGTATCTGCAGACACACATAATATTCAGCTTGGTTATTATTATTTTTACAGATAATAAAACTATGTAAACAATATAGTTTTCTTTTATGTAGTGGTTGTAACAATCAAATGCCTCTAATGGAGCTGTGGGACATTTTGTGTCTTGTGGATGTTACCAGGACTCAAGCTGGACCAGAAGAGATTCCCTTCGAGATGGGGATCTGCCTTATTCCTATTTCTAGATGTGGTAACTCCTTGTGGTTATTCAGTGGTGAGGAGAAGATATTCTGCAGAGGCACCCAGCTATTACTTAACATGTTCCAGAGTGTTAGGGCTACGCTGTGGGCAACAGTCTGAAGTGAGCCAAAAGCTCGGGAGACAGGCCAAAGATGAGAACCATTGGGTATGGCAAGACTGAAGGACAAACCAGGCATCAGGCTCAAGGAATAAGCTAGGAGACAGGACCAGGGAGCATGGCAGGACTAGAGGACAAAGCAGGAGCACAGACCAAAGAAGGCAGCGGAATAGTGTCCAAAGAGACCTTGTTGCTCAAGTATGGCTTATCTGGAAAAAGAAGCCCTTTTTACTCCTTCCTGCCCAGAAAGGTCTAATGGTCACAGTCTGGGTGGGTGACCCAGTCAGTTCTGACATCCTGTTGCACAAGCAGAAGCACAAGGGGAAGTATGTTTTGCTAACACAACAGCAGTAGCAGATGGTGGTGTTGTGGGTCCTAACCAGACCTCCGCTCAACTGCATCACTGCTGCATTCTGGGATGGAGGGGGAAATGGCAGCAGCGAGGGCAGCACAGTGCAAATGCAACAGTGGGAATGCTGAATTGGCTTTGTCCTCATCATCCCAGTAGGCAACAGTGATGTGGGCAACTGGAGGTTAGGGGAGAATTGATGCTCCATCCTATAACCAAACTATACGTATGCATTCTAAGCCCCAGGCTCACTTCCATTTCATTGCGTATCACCCTACAGACACAATCCAGAGAAAGTTAAGCATGCTTTAAAGTGCTACTGAAACCAATGTAATGAAACCCACCAAATCAGGTCTAGCTGTCACAGACACTGTGCCAGATGAATGTTACTGCAACGGGGATTTATTTCTGCCCTCATTTAATAGTTGCTAAAACTTATTAACAGTGAAAAGATCTGTATTAAAATGTGTTACAATATAAAATCTGGCATTGTTGGTGGTTATTGCTCAGTGCCAAACTGTGTGTGATTGTAAACAAAGTGAGTTTTCACAAAGGAAACTGAAACTGTTAGGTCTGTATTGTGAAACCTACATTAGGTGGAATGTTATCAAATTTAAAACTGACTGCCCTTTATCTTCTGTCTTGCATTTCCATCCTTCACTTCTGACAAAAATAGAGAAGAAGCTCAAGGGCACTTTTTGGGATTACAAATGAAAATGGCCTTAAATCTAAATTCTCAAGTTAACTGCTATGGCAATTCTTTCTACCACCTCCCTCTTCCAAATCAAGCTGCACTGTCTTCATACCTTTGAATACCATCAGAAAAAAAGCACTGATAACATTGAATGGGAAGTGGATCTTCTGACCCACCTGGTCCAAATTGCAGCAGCAGCTTGTGCATTCAAAAAGCCACTCCCCAAACTCAAAAGATTCTTTGGAACATCTGCTTATAGCATAAGGAACTTATGCCTGTGTGTGGAAATTCCAGGGCAGCTTGTGTGCTCAGGAGATATGCTTTTGCGCCTAATGCTTGCTGCAGGAGTAAAATTCCCATGGCTTCTCTTCCAATACTGTCGCAAACACCCAAGCCCCATCATGACGACTCCAGAAACTCGTAGCTTAGGTATCATCCTTTCACCACACTGCCCTATGAAGCAACATCATCTAGAGACCAGTGTTCTTCAACTGGTGTGTGTCAGGATCCCCTAGCGTCACAGCCTGATCCAAAGTGGATTCCAACAATAGCACTATCAGCATACAAATATACAGTAAAAGATCAAGAAACAGGTCCCCAAATGCACATTTGGGTTCAAAGTGGGTCCCAGATCTGAAAAAGTCAAAGAGACCTAAAGTACAGAGAGCGCAAAAACTTGCTTTCACAAAAAAGGGGGTATTTTTTATTATTATTCTTAGCAGTATTCACCTTGAAGGAATATGAGGGAAGCATACACTTTTTTTTACAGACAATATATAAACATGTTGTACATAATTAACAATAACTTAGTTCACTAAACCAAAAATTAAGCCAAAATTAAAAAACAAAACAGAAAATACTGCCAAATCTTTATGCTGATACAAGTACAAAATAATTTAAATCCTGACTGCGGTTCTTATACGCTGCAGTGACTGACAATATATTGCACTTTGTCGACTGTGTGGACCCTACCCAGCAAGCACTCCTGCTGCACAATCTCCATTCACCAAAGCGGGGCTTGTCGAGGACTCACCCCACAGAGACAAAGGAAGATTGTGGAGCAGCAGCAGCACTGGGCGGCTATTCTCCCCCAATGTCATGAAGCCTCTCATGCTCTCACCCAGCCACTCCCACCCCTAAAGAATTTGAATTGAGTTACAAATCGTGTATAACTGTACCATTATTTTTTTTAAAGCCCTCCGCCTCCCTTAAATATAAAAGGTAGTTTAATTTCCCACTTTGTCAATTGAAGATGCCATTTCTCCCAGACAGAATTTCTCTTTCATTTGTTTTGGCGATTATTTCTATTTCTTCACAAAGTGCAGCTATATATGCCCACACCAACCAGAAAAGGGAGGAAAGCAACTTTTCACTTTGGATGCTTGGTCCTTCGTTCTTTATAAAATAGCTGAATTATATATTTGGGGGGGGGCAGGAAAGAGAAACCAAAACCAACGTACACCTTTGTTTTTTGTTTTAAGCAGACTTTTGCAGTTAAGATACAATTGGCTTGATTAAAAAAAAACCATTAAAAAAACAAACAAGAAAAAGCTCGTCACAGAATTAAGCTTATGCGGTTTACATTATCAAACCCCTTTGCTCACAGGGGCTTTTTTCTCATCAGAAATATAGCTAAATATGTACATCATATGTTATACTGGACCTTGTGATCATGTAAGTCATCAGATCATAACAATTAGGGATACACTTCACACTGGCAAGAGCTTTATTTTTCGGTTGTTTACGTACAATATGGTTTCAGAATGGGATATAACTTCTTTTCTGTTTCTCAACATTTGTGATTTTCCTTACAAAAAACAAACAAACATATATGTGCTATAGGAAACGGCCAGCATACCCGTCTATGCTCCCCAGTAGCAGATCACTTTCCCATCACTCAGTAGCTGTTGCTATGTCTGAACTACTGGACGACTCTCTCTTCCACCACTCTCCCTTATAGACCTTCACCTATTTTCCGCCCTTCACCAGTTTCACAGCAAGGAAAGGTGCTGTGTGACATGCATGCCTACAGATGGCAAACTCCAGCTCTGGATGCATTATTTAAAACATCTAGTAGGGAATTAGCTACCGTAACATTTCTTAGTATCTTGGGCAAGGTCTGCTAATCAAACAGACAAAACAAAAGCAGATCCTTAATATGGTTTTCTTTCCCTTGCCCTGAATTAAGGGTTGCGTGTTAGATCCAGGGGCACAGACCACTAAAGCAAGGGCTACAGCTCCAGGGTTTTATGTGTCAAAGGTTCAGTATCTGGCATCACCATCTGAGAAAAGAAACACTCTTGCCCGAGACCTGGGAGACCACCTGCCATACCTCCAATCTCAGCAGACTGTACTGAGCAGGATACAAGGAGGGTCTGAATCAGTGTTAGGGTGGCTCACTATACCAAACTGCCTGTGCTGCAGCACAAACAGGGCACCCCCCCCACCCTCAAGGTGGGGCTGGGAAAGATGGCAGAGTTGTTGCCATCGGTCTCTGTAGGTAATACTGAGCTAGACTGACCAATCATCTGACTTGGTATAAGGCAGCTTCCTAGGTTCGTATGAAACAAGAACTCTACACAAAAACCATCAGAGCGACTGGAGACTGAACAAGAGCAATGCATAAAGGTGGTGCCTCGATGAGGGACGTTTTTAGGTTCTGGGGGCTCCTAGTGCCAGGAGTTAGTAGGGCTTTTTGGTGTGAATGGCATGTCTTTGTGCAGACGGGGGAACAGGGAAAGAAGGCACAGATAACAGGAGTGATAGAAACAGTGCGGCAGCCCTGCACCGACCGGGAGGTTGAGAGCGGATAGGGCACAGAGGTTGTGGAGTTAGATCGCAGATTGCCAACGCAGTGCCTGCAGGCACAGATGTGCCCACAGAAGTCTCCCTTGGCGCCCAGGGGTCCCCTCCTGCCGCTGATGTCAGACAATGAAAGAAGCATTCTATTGCGGTCAATAGAATGGATTGCAATGTATGCTTGGCTGTGGTGTGTGTGTGTGTGTGTTGTGCCCATTTTCTGAATGTGCCCATGGGTTCCCAAAAAAGTTGGCAACCCCCAAGCTAGGCGGATGGAGCAAATCATGGAACTTAGTGGACTGGTGTGCTCTATCTAAAACAACACAATCCATGACTGGAGGAGATGCAGTTCAGACCTGCTGTTGGGAAGGAGCAAGAGAGAAGGGCAGCCTGGGATGCGAGTACACCTGTTATCACTTTCTACAACCAACTAGATGCTCAGAGAGGTATGATGGGGAAGAAATGCCGATTTTGTGCATTTTAGCCCTCCGGCCAATGCAGGACTGTTCGGTATGGAAAAACCTTTTAGCCATTTGTCCAGTGTATCTTGGTCTTCTTGTAGGATGCCACGCTTTTAAACAAAAGACCTTCACATTGACAAAAATGAATACAGAAATTATGTCAAAATAATCTGCACCTTGAGGCTGTTGGAACCTAGGTCAGCGCCAAATGTCTCCCTCTTTCACGTACACAGCCCCTTCCTAGTAGATTTTTTAAAAGTCTAACAGCGATGAAGAGAATCAAGAGTGGCCATTAAAGCAATAAGAAGAAGATTTTTTTAAAAAAAACTTTACCTGGGTGGACGTTTCTTTAAACAAAATAAAAAAATAAAATAAGATCCACAAGAACATGCAAGAGTTTTGAAGCTCTTTCTGGAACACAAGAGCAAAATAAATAATGATTTTTTTTCCTGTATCTGATTTCTTTTCTTAAAAAGTAGATTTATTTTTTTTTATAAAGTTGTCCATTTTTCCTCCCCTGAACACAAAGTCTGTGATAGAAATCCAGCATGGGCGGCTACCACTGAGCTTCCTCTTGCCTTGGGAGGCTGCTAATCTCTTTACAATATTCACAGTAATTAACAAAGAGAAAGGAAAGCTGGCTCCAGCTTCTTCGACTGCTTCAGCCACCTTTTCTTTCTGCTGGGACCAGAAGGTATCATTTCAGACAGGTGAGTTCCTCTTTCTCCATTTACCTGAGGGGGCAAAGTGCATAACAGGCACCATTAAGCATTTCTGCAGAAGACCCATCACTGCAAAGTTTTAGTCTAGCGCTAGGAGTCGAACCACACTGGAATGAGATCCCCTTTCGTTCCTCTTCCTTCCCTACATTCTCTCCTCTGGGCAGATTTTTTCCCTTGCTGTCGTCTTATAGGCAAAGCCCAGTGTTTTCAAGTTCTCTGTTAGGATCTTCAGATTCTATCCCATGGCTGTGACCATGCTGGATGGATGTGGATGTCCAAATGAGATGCTGGAAGATGGGTGAATGGGGGTAGGCGTTGGCAGGATATGTCCAGAGTGGCTGAAAGGTGGCAAATGCCCCATCGGTGTCATGTGACTGGCAAGGGCAGCAGCACTGAATGGAGAAGATTTCTCCTGCATGCACTTGGAAAGTTCCTCAAAGCATTCAGAGCCTTTCTTGCTCTTCTTCGACTTGTTAGACATTTTCCTATTTCTGGTCTGAATTCCTTCCTTCTTCATAGTCAAAGGCCTGTTCACCTGCAAGAAATGAGAAAATCAGGCTCATGCAAGCAAAATGACCTTCTTGTGTACAAAAATAAAAATATTTAAACAGCCCCTGAGAGTTTCCTGGACAGAAATCATTTTCAGGCCAAAAAACAAAACGAAAAGCCTACATCTCCTCCTTCCTCCCCGCAGATTTTGTTTATAAAATTTGATTTGTTTAATGAAACCACACTGGAAAACTTCAGACATGAAAAAGCAAGTTGGACCAAATACTGGCAGTTTCCACCCCTCCTTTCCTTAGCCTTAGCCCTTAACCTTCATTCATTTCCTAATTTAAAAAAGAAAGAAAAAAGATTTCCTTTAAAATAAAAAAAAAGAGGGAGGGGGGAGGCACACACACAGCACCAGATTCTAAAGCTGGAGTGTTTCAATTTTTAAAAAGAAGAAAGTTTGCACTACTTCTATGTTCAGATATATAAAATTTGGAACCGATCAGAGCATTCTACAATTTCTTTCATGCAGTGCCAAACTTATATAAAGATACCCCGATTGAATTAAACTTTACATGAATCCATTTGAAATGTCCTCTGAATTTCTGGGAAAGGCAGAGAACCATGCAGTGTTTGGGTTATAACCAAAAGTTCTTAACCCTATTTTGCTTAAATCACCCGTGTGCTTTAGAAGCCAAGCTAATACATTGTAATGTCACTGAATTCCACATCACTATGCCAACAAAGAATGGCCGTGACTTCCCAGGGGAACCCTAAAAAGCTTTTCTCTTTAAATAAAAAATTAAAAGGACTCCCTGCAGTGAATACACAGGGGCTGGAGGACGCCATGCAGTTGAGGCATCAATCGCAGCTAAGCAAGCAAAAGGGTGACACATGGCAGGCAAATACTCACATTGTGCAATTTATAGTACAGTCCACAGGCATTGCACACTGGGTCCCCATTCGCATTACGTCGCCATAAGGTGGTGGTGGTTGTTTGGCAGTTGGCACAACAAGTTCCTGCTCTCCTAGCTGCTGACTAATTAAAGGGGGGGAGAGTATATGTTGAACAATCTGTTCTTTGAATGGTTCACGTGCAATATAATTTAATTTTTAAGAAGCAAGCTTTTTAATGAAATAAATGACACACACACAGAGCAGGGGGGAAAACCCCTTTCTATGTTCCACCCCCACCCCCATCTATTTTGAAAATGTAAACCTGGATGTAATGCTAATGGGTGGTACATTATTCTATCAAATGTATTTGGTAGCTAACCTGGGATATTATGATGCCTGAAGGTGTTTGGTCCCACAGCTCAAAAATTGGGGGGGGGGGAATGTATGTGCATTAGTGCACCAGTCTAGTAGTTCCTTGCCCAGCTGCTTGGCCTCTCATTCTTCTGCGCCAGAGAACTAAATGGAAAATTCCAACTGTGCAAGAGCTTAATGTGTGCATCAAAAATGCAGCTGGAGCTCTGGGCTGTATGAACCGTGTGGAAAAACTGCATGTGAATTGTCATGTTATCCATGTATATACAGTCATATCTCAGAAGTCAAACAGAATCTGTTCTGGAGGTCGGTTCGATTTCCAAAACGTTCAAAAACCAAAGCACGGCTTTTGATTGGCTTCAGGAAGCTCCTGCAGCCAATCGGAATCAGCGGAAGCCCCGTCTGACATTCGGCTTCCAAAAGAACATTCGAAAACCAGAACACTCACTTCCGGGTTTCGATCGCTTGGGAACCGATATACAACTGTAAAGCAAGAGAGCAGCAGGAGAATGGACTGAACATCACCCAAACCCGTAACTTGCTGTGTTCCACTACTTTAAGCAACTTTCTTCTAGGCTGTTTCACTTCCGTCACCTGAGCCAGAACTGGGAGAAAGTGTCTTAAAACAGAAGAGCACAGAAAGGGAAGGTGGGGAGCGGGGGAGAGAAGGTTTGCACCTTTCCATGTGAAGCCTTTGCCCACACATTCTTGCACACAGTGCTTTTTTCTAGAAAAATAGGTGCCGGTACTCACCGTGAAGTTGTTACAGTAAGTGCCACACTTTTTAACAACAAAAAGAGATGCCAGTACTAAGCACCCCCTGAAAAAAATCACTGATTGCCCAGCTGCTTTACTCACGGTGTCTAATTTGACCCAACCTCCCATGCTAGTTCTACTCAGTAGACCCATTAAAGCTAACATATATAACTAACTTTGGTTCATTAACTTTATCTACTCTGAGAAGAAGTTATTTGGCTATAGCCCATTACCCATATACAGAACTTTGTGGAACAGTAAAAAAAAATTAAAAATTCCCTGTTCTCATTATCTCAAACTCCTTGCTCTTAAAAGAATATTTATTGCCATTTTGTATGACACATTGTATAGCACCACCAATGTTTCCCTCAAACTCTTTTAACTAATGCACCCATCCCTCATGAAGTATGAGGTATATTCAGCAGTTATCCACATTTCTGATCATCCAGGTCACTTGAATAAAATGAGTTTGTACCGTTCTCTTGTCTGTGTATTAAATGCAGCAGGAGTGCATTTAGTTCTAACCACGACAAAAACTATGCATTTGATTCTAATTTGTAACCTGATGGTTTAGTGTATTTAGGCAGCTAGTCAATTCAAACTCAATGCTTTGCTTAACCCTCGGACCCTAAACAACTGGGCTGAGTAATCTGCCTGTGACATGGCAGTAACATAAAGATGTGCAATACTGCACTGGCACCCAATATATATGACAACATCTATACACTTCTGAAAATGTCTGAATTTGCATTGGAATATGCAAAATTAAACTAGTCCTTCTGACTTGCTAAGCATTAAACATACTAAACTTCAGCCTTGCTACAGAGTCTGCTAAATTGGAAGCTATGAGCTCTAGGGCTACCAGACTGAACTGAAAAGCTCTTGTGGATTGTGTTTAGTGTTTACTGTTGTTTTATAATGTTGCTTGGGCCCCCAAGGAGTAGAGAGGGAGGGAGCTCCTTAACATGAAAGCAACCTAAGTAAGATTTACATTCAGGGGGAAAAACTCTTTCCCCCCTAGATTGGCACTTGGCTGAGTGACCCATAACCCTGAAAACAATGGGGTCATTTCAGAAAATTTTAGGAGTGGGGGGAGGAAATGCACCCTCTCTTTTAGGAAAGAATCCTTCATACAAAGGGTTCAAAGGTATTCTGCTCCAGGAAATATGTTCAGTACACTATGTTTGGCGCAGCCTAATGAGTGTGTCATGGAAATATATACAAATATGTAAAAAGCATGGATGAGCTGATCCTCAAAAGCTCCATGAAAATTATTGCACCATCCAAGCAAATGAAATGTGTACTACGACAGCACCTTATGGCTCAACCTGTGACACTGATCCAATTTCTACAAGCCCAGTTTCTGAAGCTGACACAAAATGTGCACCCCACTAGTATGCACCCCACTATGGCAGAATATAGGACAGACCTCTCTGGATCCAGTTTATACCAAAAAAATGTGCCTATCTACATAGGGTGCTACCACTGCTCTTATTCCATCTGATTTCAGCTACAATGCTGGGAATGTCTTATGTATGAGGACAAATGATCCAACCATCTTGACTGTGCACAACGGTCACCGATTCTCCCAAGCCTTTCAGTGTACAGTGGTACCTCGGTTTAAGAACAGTCCTGTTTACAAACTATTTGGTATACGAACTCTGCAAAACTGGCTGTAGCGTTCCAGTTAGCAAACTTTACCTCGTTCTACGAATGAAAGCTGAACAGTGAAAGGGCACTGGCGGTGGGAGGCCTCATTAGGGAAAGTGCACCTCGGTTTAAGAAAGGTTTTGGTTTAAGAGCGAACTTCCGGAACAGATTAAGTTTATAAACCAAGGTACCACTGTATACTAAAAAGCTCATGACTGTGTTTACCAATTTTCACAATTTCATCATGAGTCTCACAACTAAGCATGTTTGTCTTTAATAGCCAGCTCTCAAGAGTAGAGAAATGAGAGAGAAAGAGAAAGAGAAAGAGAGAGAAGCATACATTTATTTTTACAACTGCTGCTATTGCTACGTTTGGCACCAAGAACGTGGTAGGAGCTGCAGAAAAAAAATATATCTGAATCATAAAGTTACAAAATGAATGGAAGGAAAGCACATTCAGAAACAAAGCAATATTATAAAAGGACTATTGAAAAAATCATTATAACTGGAGTTGACCATACCATGAGACAAAATTAAGAGGCTAATTCAGGTGGTAGAAATTGGTTGCCCTGAAGTGCAGCAGAGGCACATCTGCTCCCTGGATCATAATCCTCCAAGAAGTTCTATTCTACAAGATTGGGACAAGATTCTACAATTGAAATGAATGGGAACTATGTGAAAAAGCGTGGTAGTGGAATCGGAGAATGCATGCCATTGGAGTTTTTTGCGTAAGGCATGAAAATGTAATGTGCCACTGCAATTACCCTATTCTGTTCACCAAAGTTGTTTTCAGAAGCTCCTTATAAGACACAGCCTTCTGTTACATCAGGCTGTTTTTCAGTTAGCCCAGTAGTGTCCATTCTGACTGGTAATAGCTCCCCAGGGTCAAAGCAAGTCTTCCACATTCTATACCACCTAATCCAAATAATGTACTAAACCAGGGTTTCCTAAACTTGGGACTCCAGCTGTTGTTGGACTACAACTCCCATCATCCCTAGCAAGCAGGACCAGTGCCCAGGGATGATGGGAATTGTAGTCCAAAAACAACTGGAGCCCCAAGTTTGGGAAATCCTGTAATAAACTAACCTGTTACTTGCCAGAAAGTGAATCACTACCATTGCTTCTGCAGGAAAAGCACATGCATACTCTGCCACTGGGTTAAGGCCCCCCTCCCGACTTATTCCAAGTTTATTGAGTCCCATTCAAAGAACTAGGAATGCAAAAGAAGGCCAGGTAACTGCCCCTGGTTCTAAGAGTGATGAAGGCTGGTGAGTAGAAGCTTCTCACAGCTGTGATCAGTTCAAGTAGGACCAGAGCTGGGAAAAGGGGATGCCTGGGTGTTCCCGTCCCCCACTGAGGCCCCAGCACTGTAAGGGACTTCTGGATGATAAGATGGGGTGAGGGAATAGTGGCAAAGGCTCTCAAACCGAGTCCTGCGCTTTCCTGTGTTCCTACTCTGCCTATCGGCTCATTTGTGTTATGAAGGGCTTCACTCAAAAGCCCATCACAGCATAATCTGCTATTGGCCTGCAAGGACTGAGAGACCCCCCCCTTCCCAAAAAAACACAGCAACAACACCCTTAAATAGAGCTAGATGTTCAGGCTGAATGATTGACGCTAGCCTTCCCCGCCCCATCATGCTTTCATTGCAGCCGAGCAATGTTTAGATCCCTATCACTGGATCAAGATTATTTCTTATCTCTTATACAGCTACAGCTTTCTGGCACAGTTTATAAACATTTTCATCTTTTATCCAGACTTCCAAATTTTGCAATGGTTTTTGGAGGTCTCAGTGGGTAAAAAAAAAGGTGGTGCAGTATTTTAAAATTAATATCATTGTTACTGGACAACAGTGGTGATTTTTCAATACCGATTGTTTATAATACTGGGAAGTTCTTAGAATTTGGATTGTCCTGGCTCACTCCTTGATCTAACAAATAAAAAATATATAGTAGCACAAACTCCAGAAACTTGCAGTGAGTTAAGGACTTGCAGTCTCCCACCAAACATTTGAAAGCAGAGAGCTATGTTTGCATATTTGAGATAGTTTATTGATACTAGACTCTGCCGCTTAACTCTATGGCCTGTCCCATTTAGTCTGGCATGGAGTTTAGCCTGCGAGAGACGATAATGTTACACTGTTGTCTTAACATTTTTCTAGACGTGTCACTCACTTCAGAAGGAAAGCAAGCCTATTAAGAAGCTCGCCCTGTTGAAATTCTGACTCACAGCCGACCCCCACTGTAGCCCATCCTAGCTTTAGATTACTAGAGCCGCTCCTTCAGTCTCCTCCTAGTTCTTGCTGAGGCAAAAAACGCCCCCCCCCCAATGATGAGGGAGTTTTAGGACCTCCACCCAACCCCACAAACCACATTGCTACAAAAAAGAAAAATATTTATTATTCTTAGCATATTTTTTTTACAAGCATTTGTAGAGTGGAGCATATTCGCAATTTCAAAACAGACAGCCTGACTGGCATGGCTTGTCTATAGAAACTCTTTAAAGCTTTTAGAGTCAGGAAACAGATACACAAAGTTTCCTTATCTTCAGAGTACAGATATCCGGATAGGAAACTACTACCAGGAGCCTAGAATTTATTTTTTTTTAATCACTCAAATGAAAATACACAGTATAGGTGACTCCATGGAAAAATAATCAGTTCTTTTAAAAAGGCAATTAGAGAATTGCCCAAAGAGAGAGAGAGAGAGAGAGAGAGAGAGAAGAGAAAGAGAGAGCTAATGTTAGTTTTACCATGGAATCTCTGAGTACAAAAATTACTTTATCAAAATAATTACTGAGCAGATAGCAACAACTTTGACGCATCTGATTTCCCAATCTCTCTCTTTTTCCCCTTTACACTTTCTGCTTTGGATCTCTTTTTGGACTTTTGGGCTGGAAGGGCATACATGACTAACACTTTCAGTTCCAGCCTACTTCTGAACTGTCCAAGAGGTCAAATGAATTAAAGCTGTCCTTTCTGGATAAAAGGGACAGAATGCAGCCACAGGAACAAACAGGCAGGCACAATTGGCTACACACCTTTCAACAGCCAGAACTTTACAGAAAATACAGACAGAACAGGAGAAGGTGAGCTGGTGGTTTCACACTGGCTAGTGTCTTTGAGCCACAAACTGGCAGCTTCAGAGTTTGAATCTCACCTCTGCAGCGAACTCAACTCTGTAGCCTTAGGCAACCCACCCTTTTTCGGCCTCAGTCCTTACCCCTGCACAATGGAAATAATAGCACTAACCTACCTTACAGGATCATTTTAAGAGCTACAATAAAACAATGGATGGGGAGGGGAGAGGAGAGGGAGAGAAGCCGCTCAAATACTAAATGTGTGATGTATATCCACAAACAAAATTGCTATTGTTCTGTAACTTGGCATGCAAAGTTCTGCGGGCAGGACCCCCTGCAAAAAAGAAAGTACGTCTCTAAGCGACACCGTGACCGCTGAGTGACATGGGTCTCATGTGCAGTGCAATATCTAGATCCCATACAGGCTCTGAAGCACACAGAGATGGGTCAAGTTGCCCTCTCGTCACCATACACGCATGTGTGTGTGTGTGTGGTCCCATTAAATCATTTTAGCCTCAAAGCTGGTAGAGAGAAATAGACACCTACCAGTCTCCGTTTAGGTTTAATGAGAGGTCGGTTTTGACCGTTCATTTTGTGGTAGAGCCCACAGGCGTTACACAGGTAATGCCCAGTACCGTCTCTTCTCCAGAGAGGGGTGGCAGTAGCTCCACAGTTGACACACTCTCTGCCTTCTAAATGGAAACACGAAGAAACCGGATTTCTTTCTTTAAAAACAAATTCACAAAAGCTTTTTGCATTGTCCTTTTAGGCAGATTCCAGAAATCAAAACAGCACATTATTCAAAACAGAGGGGAGGAAAACAAGAGAGAGACATGAATGGCAACATCTACAGTGCATGCAATAAAGGTCTAAGTCCAGGAGAGTTGCACAAATTTCAAGCATCAATTTCGTATGCAGCGATCAGAAAGCAATTATATTTAGTATAACTTGCATTGGTATCAATCACAATGTGGCAGAAAATGTCCTGCTTTGCTTCTCCAGTCTAATGCAGCTCTATGGCCACAGCATATTTGGGACTGTTCTTTCCTCCCCTCACTCCCCCCCCCACAAAAAAGGCTCCCAAGAAAAGCAAAGTAGGAACATCAACAATTGTATGGATTGCATTGCCGAGTTAGCATAGTTATCTAAACAGAATGGCAACTCTCCCACCACCACCAGATCCAAACTGTTTTTCCTGTGAATACTACTCTCTCTGGAATTAAGCAGAGTTTGAAAGTGGACAAAGATCTGAAATAGTTCAATAAGGGTTTTCAATATATGGGAGGGAAAACAGCTTGAAATCTATTCTTTGAATGAGTATACATTTAACTTTTTGAGCCTGCGTTTTACAATTTCATAAGGAAGTTCTGATTGATTGAGTATGCTCTTTGTTGCTGGCTTGTTCATATCATACATAAATATTCACTGGCTATATGTTTAAGGATTGACCTAACTTGAAAGATTCTGATATGTGCATGCTTGTTCCTCTAAAAAATAAAAAAAAAGGAGGGGGAGGATATTTACTAAAAGTTCATTTGTCTGTGAAAAAGTCTAGTTAATAGAGGAAATTCTTTTAGCACAGTTTATGCAAATCATACAGTATTTAATGCAGAGGAAATACACTTTGGCCAGTAACTCGAGCAGGCTGAGTTCTGCTGCATCTATGTCTCCTTTAATCTATGGAGTGGGTGGTTTTTAAACAGTACAGGCTGGAGTGAAAAATGAGGGAACTCTGTGAAGCTGAGTTCCTCGCTTTTGTCCCTCCTTGGGCAGGAAGCTGCAGGAGTCGCCTTGTCGTGAGTCTTGGTTTTTCTACAAAAACATTAAATGGTCACGAACTCTCCCCACTTCCATCTACAGGACAGGGTCTCCATTACAACACTTAGGAAAACTCACATCTAATAAAAAGCCCTGTGCTGAGAGAGGAGGGGAGGAGGGGCTGAGACTTCATTTTCCAAGGTGACTGTTTTATCTAGTTTGGAGCACTTTAGAAAAGTAACAGTGGTGTGGGATATTTTAAAAATTGCATTATGTTTCTATGTACTGGAGACAGTAATCTATCTCGGGTCCTGGGGAAAATGTGAATTCTCTCGCTCTTGAAAGGGACCAATTTGAAGTGGAGATCCTGAAGCAGTAAAAACATGTGATATTTGGGTTGCAATGCTCATAAAAGAGATCATGTTTCTGAATTACTAGCCACTTTGAAAAGAGATGTGTGTATAGACATATATATCCTGTTTTATTTTTTTTTATTTTTGGCCACATTAAACTCTATACGTATTTACTATGGCCTAGTAAGGTTTGAAAGCAAAAAATATAAATGAAGCAATATGAACATAAATTATTAGCTTTTGTATCCATGAGAATATTATTCATTAAAAAGTACGCTTTTAAAGAAAGGGAGGTTAAGAGAGTCTCTTTGGCTTAAAGATTTTATATGTGATGACAGATGGGATTTTTTTTTTAAGTTGCTTGTTTTAACAAACAGGGATGAGCTAGAGTTAACATGATAAGTGGCACTTATTTCTCTCCCCCAGTTTTATTGAATTCATTTAAATTAGTATTTACAAGGTACCTTAGTAGCCAGCATTGGTATGTAAACTATATTTGAACTTTTGCTCCTTGTATGATCTGAAGGAAATCAGGCCCTCTGGAAGTTTTAAGAAAATGGCCTTGTAAATTTCAAGCCTGAACAGCTAGTTCTTTGCAAAATGTACTGCTTAATAAAGATGAACTTTTATCACAAGTTAACAAAAGCAACTTAGTGGAGATCCTACGAAAAGAGGCAAGGGAATACAGGATCTTGCCAGACATTTCCAGTGAATACAGCTGGCCTAGGCCTTTATATTGCTGCGTTAAGAGATTTTCCAATATAAACCCTTATTTGCATAATTCAGATCTGCCAGTTTTGTGGGGGTTTTTTAACGGATTACTGCATCCCTTGGGCCCAGCGGTGACCGAATGCTGCAGAGACCAGCGGCAGGAACTTGAAGGGAGAGACAGCTTGCCTACAACCAATTAGCAATAACAAACTAAACTTTTGAAAGCTAGAGATGCCCCTGCTGTTCCAAGCTGCTCCCCCGTCCTCATAAAATGTATGAGTAAGTTCAATTTGGTTACACTTTCTCACTAAAACTGAGCAAAGGGAATCCATTCAGGTCGACGCAGGGCATTTTAAAACATGTCCTATGAAACACAGAAATCACTTAATCCAGATTATTTACCTACACCTTAACCCATTTAGCCACTCTTTTTTGCACAAGATCAAGGTGCTTAAAGAGTTTTAAAATAAAAAACAATTGTTCCAGTTTTCAGTATATGTTAATACACCAACAGCAATTCTAATCTGCCTTGATTATTGCAATTACAAAACCAAAGGAGCAGTAAATTTAGACTGAATTGATAAACTGGATGTGAATGTAAGTGGCCCAGAACTTCCAGGATCCATTCAACTTTTTTTTGGTAAATGCTACTATTTAAATTTAAATAGTTAGTTCAATGTGGGTGGTTTGGTCTTTGCAATTTGTACTGAGAAAACCACCCCGCAAAAAACACAAAAGCCTTATTTTTAAGCACTTGTTTTCATTTTTTTCTTCTATCCACTATACCAAAATCTCTGAACTCTTATCTGGTGGATGACATGAATTGCCTCAATCCCGAGCACTGCATTTCAGAGAGGAGGTCATAAAGGATACATGCCTCAAGTCACCTCGGAATCCTTTGGCCGCATTTTAAATATATATCGTTATTGCTATTAGGTGTTAATTAGCAGCGGCCAGGGTAGCAGTTTCCAGTGCTTATCTCGGAGTAAGGCAGGAGCATTATAAATCCTCTTTTGAGAATATACACAAGACATAAAGTTGAGCAAACACTCATACCGGCTGCCTCCTCTTCCACCCCCATCCATGCACATGCAGCCCACCGACCCATTTTCCCTTCCTAAAGGGGTGCATTATTTATTCTTATTATTATCATTATTCTGTGAGAAGAGGGCGGGGCGGACAAGGGGCTTACCTGAGCAGGACCGGGCTTTGCTCCTCTGCTTGGGGGTGAAGCTGGAGGCGGGCCCCCCGAGGAAGCTCCCCGGGTGGAAGAGGCTGCCGCCGTAGTCGTGGGCGGCGGGCACGTAGGAAGGGTAGGTGGGGATGGGGTGGTGCGTGGAGGGCTGCGCGCCCATGGAGGCGGCGAGGCTGCTGCGCAGCGGGCTGGCGCTCTCCATCTTCATGCCGTCGGCCAGGGACACCTGGTACTTGAGCGGCTCCTTGTCGTCTTGCCGGCCGGCCGAGGCCGAGGCGGGCGAGGCGGCGCTGCTGCCGGCGTTGGGGTCCGGGGAGACTTCCTTGGGCGGCGTGGGCGGGAAGCCGAAGAGGTGCGAGCCCGAGTGCGAGGCCGGCGTGAGCGACGAGGCGGAGGCCGCGCTCGACGCCGAGCTGCCGCCGCCGGGGTACACCGAGATGGCGCCGGGCGGCGCGCCGGCCGCCGAAGGGTGCAAGGGCCCCTTGGTGAAAGGGTTCACCGTCCACGGGTTGTGATGGTGCGCCGCCGACAGAGCCGCTTTGCTGCTGTCCAGCCAGGGCAGGCCGGGGCTGTGGAGCAAGTGAGGCCGGCACATTTGGCTCCCGGTGAGGCGGGCTGCGGGCAGGGAAAGGGCGGCAAGTCAGTCAGACGGTCAGGGGAGGCCTAAGGGCGCTTTTCTCTCCCGGCCACCCAGCTACCGACCCCCGCACCCCGCTCCGCCTTGGCCGGGCCTTGTGTGCAAGGAAGATAGCACGCCCTTTGGCCTTGCCCCTACTCGAGCCACAAAATGGAGTCAGCCTTGCCCGCGCCCGGAATCTACGCCATGCACATTAGTATACCAGCCCCTCCAAGCAGCCATGATTCAACTCCCATTTCAAGGGAAACGCGCTTCTGACTCCCAGAGGAGGGTCAAAAGCTCGTTAAAGGAGCGCAAACGAGGCCGCCGTGAGCACTGCCATATAACCTACCCAAAATAAAATAAAAACTTGCAGAATCAACAGTGAGCAGCAAGAAAAAGGACACTTGGGGCTTCTTTTGGAAATCAGTGGGGATTCAGGAGTAAAGTGCCTGCATGCTGGATCCCGTGCTTTGGAACAGGGTTTTTTTTGGGGGGGGGGATCCAGATAGGAAGGTACCCCACAGCTCCTCCACTCTTTTGCTCAGGTCAAATGAATTTTGGCAACCGCCAGGCAGGCGATCTTCCCTCCTGCAATCGAGCAGCTGAACTACTTCGGGCATGGGAGCAAAGCCCCACCGTTAAAAGTACACGAGGAGAGGGCGGGTGTGTGTGTGTCAAGGAGTTGGGCCTTTCCTGGTCTTAAAAGCAACACGCACACCTCCCAACAGAGCTCTATTAAGCAGAACGAGTTGTTTTTGTTGTTGTTGGTGGTTTTGGGAGGATTTTTTTCTCCCAGTGACTGCAATGCTTTTTAAAGTTTTCTCCACACACATGAAAAAGGTGCGCGTCATCTCATCTTTCCCCGACCCCGCCTTTATATGCATGCTGATCCAAAAGTATTTCAAATAGGATTAGATTTCATATCCGGGAAATGGCCCGGTCTTGTGCCTGCGAAGTACAGTACTGTATATCAGTAGTTAACAAGCCCCTTCCCCCTCTCCCAACGCGAAGACGCCGCTTCCCTTTCCTATTCCCCCCCCCTTAAAAAAAAGGGCACGCCAACCTTTTTCTAGGATTAAACCCAACCCGATCGCCATCATCTACTATTGCTCCTTTGCCAGAAACCTCCCAGTCTCATCTCCATGAAGATCAGCAGGAGCCCCAGGCAGAAACAGAAAGCAAGAAGAGCTGGGAGGCCGGGGGTGGAGGGAGGAAGGAGCAAAGCGGGGGGGGGGGATTTACCGTGCGCCTGGCTGTAGGAAACTCTGGCTCTGGCATGGGCCGAGTTGGCATAGTACGGGTTGCCTTGGGAGTCCAGATGATTGAAGAAGACATCCACTTCGTCCGGAGGTAGGAGCTGCGCTGGTTCCATATAGTTATGAGCCAGTCCCGGGTGATGGGTCTCCGGGTGCTGCCCGTTCAGTACGGCGTGATGGGCCATCCAGCGCGGCTGGTCCGTGGCTACCTCCATTCCTGTGGGCTTCTCCCCCACTCCCCCCCTAAAACCCTCCCTCCAACCCAAAACCGTTTTGGTTTAGAGTTGGATTTGGTTTTGAAACGGTAGAGAGCTAGGTTGATCTCGGAAGGCAGACAAAGGTAACCGTGTGTCCCTCTTTTAAACAGGGAAGTTGCGGAGAGAGGCTCCTGCCACACACCTGGGATCACCACCTGTAAGGAAGGAAGGAACGGTTAGTACCTTACGTGCCTTTTGAAGATGTGCTCCAAAGAGTACGCGTTAGATTCCGGCAGACACAGTCCTGTAAAAATTGTCCTCTGAATCACGGGATGGAGGTGGGGGGAGGGAAGAGAGGGGAGCGAAGGAGGGTCCTTATTTTGACCATCACAGTCTGTAGCCGCCGCCCCCCTCCCGGTTCAAAAATGTTCATTCTTCCACACCGTCCCCAGGCTAACATCAAAACATTTGTTTTTAATGTTCCGCTGTACAAAAAAAAAAAAAAGTATCTACTTTTCTACAGTTGTCAATAAGCGACGAACTGTAAGAAAAGGGGGAAAGAAGAGAGCCCTTTGGTCTGCGTTTGTTTGTAGTTCAAACTGAGATAAAAGAAAAGAAAACTCGGAGTGATGAGTGCTTTAAAAACAAAAACAAAAAACAGCGATTCGAACGCGTTTTCTCCTGCAAAATAAGCGCAGTCTCCTTTTCCTCCCCCCCCCCCGCCCACCCTCTCGGTTCCACTAACAAACATACTTACAGAGAGAAATTCCAAGCAGACTGAATCTAACTCCAAATGTTTGAAAAGTTTCTTTATGAGGCTGTAAAGGGGGGGAGGGGAGATGATTGTTTGGAGGATGGAAATGCAGAAAAGAGTGAGCGAGGGAGAGGCGAAGGAGAGCGAAGAGAGAGAGAGAGAGGAGGCTTGGATAGAAGCTCTTACTCAGATGGCAAGCTCCACTTATTCTGGCCTTTTTTGTAACATCCCCAAAGCATCCTATGTCAGCTCTGGCGCCAGCTGGACTCAGTTCAGTAGACATGAACTAGGGGCGACGCGCAGGCTAAGAACCAGCCAATCAGCAGCCAGGCGCTCAGCCGAGCCTTGCGATTGGCCCCGGGAAATCCACATTCCCCTCATTTACTCCAAACAGCTAAAAAGCGCTGAACCCGCCAAAGACTCCCTCCCCCCCACCCCACGCGCCATTCCACTCCTCCATTGCTTTTTAGACTTTTGCTGCCCCCCACCTCTCCCATAACTTCTCGCTTCGCCCCATTCCAGCTTTCCCATTATTAAGCAAGCTCCTTATCTCTCAGAGATCGTGCTTTTTTCTTGTTGCAAAGTGTATACTTTACTCAGCGTAAAGCATGCTCCTTACCTAGGATTTGGGAATCTACACGGCACTAAATAACTTAAGGAGAAAGTGGGGGGGGGGAGAGAGAGAGACAGAGAAGTACTTAAAAGCAGAGTAGGCAGGGACATGGGGTCACGAAATATGGTCAGCTTAGGAAACCCTATTTCTCAAGGCCCACAGTCCGGTTCCCCATCATTTTAAAACAAGGGCAACAATTGTCTGCATTTGTTTTGTTTTGTTCAAGCTGATTCAGTTGTAATTAGAGTAGTGTTAGGTGGGTTGGATCCTAGGCACATGCAGAGTAAACCAGAAGTACCTCAAATAAAACTGAAGTGGCTGTTAATGTACCAGAGAATTCGAATCCAAACGTATTTAAAACCGGCAATGATTTTATTTCTAACTACACGCCTTATTTCTTTCCGCTGTAGTTCAGTGTTTTGGTTCTATTATTACCTAATTGTTATTTCACCATAACTTTAGTGCTCAGTCCATTCACTTCACAGTAGATCAGCCCCCTAAGCTGATTTAACTTCTTAGCAGTAAGTACATTCAGGATCGTAGTCGATGTGGCATTTTTCTCAGGCAACTTGTTTTGTTCACCATTTAATAAATGAACAAAACCAATACCCAACTTGCATTTTTTTATTTAAAAAACCCCAGAAATACATTTTCCAAGTCACACTTTTAACATCAGTTTAAAATCTTCGTTTAAAATAGTAAATAATTTTAGTAGAAGTGAATTAATTATATTAATACTCCACGGGCATTGCAATTTGGAAATAATTCTGGGTAGAAGTATAATTTAGTGATCATATAGCTGCCAGATCATTACAATAGCCTCCTACCCCTCTGGATTTTCTTAAATCTGATATTTAGGTTAAAGCAAGAATACAAAAGCACTGGTTTTGCATGGAAGTCATGAGTCTTCCTAGGTAATCGCCTGAAAAATCCCATCCAAACCAAGGCCATATTTAGAACCCTTGGTGTCCAATATAACTATTGGACATTTACAATTCCAGGAAAATCTAGGCAAACCACATAGGTTATTGTATACTCTTTTCATTCCTTATGGGGCATTGAAACGATGTAGCAGGACCAGCTCTCAATCATGTTCAAAATATTGATATGCTTTTAACTCTCTGAATCTAAACCATGACTATGCTACTGCTTGGGCTTTCAAAAACTTTTTAATAAACCGCTTTCTGTTAGTTTGAAGCCCCCGAAGCTTTCGAGCCTGCTGCCTGAAACAGCTCCTGCCACAGGCGAGGTGGGTGGCTGGAGAGAACTAGCCGCTTGCTCAGCAACTCTCACTCCCCATTTAAAACCCAGCAAAAATTAAAAATTGAAAAGGAAAATTATCCAATCACCCCCAGAAAACATTGGTGGCAGACTGAAAGAACGCCCCCCTCACAAGCAAAAACATTTCTAAAAGGAAAGAAACCATCCAAATCAAGCCCACGATTTAGAAGACAAACTATTCAGTGGATACATTCTTCCGTCCACCATTCCGCATTAATAAAAACAGCAGCAGCAACATTTCAAGGGACTTTGCTTTTGCACACGAGTTCTACGAGCGCTAGCTGCCTTGCCTTTCCTCAGATTAAGTGCGTTGTTGTTGTTGCCCATCGCCAGCATAACTAACCTTAAGAGTTTTAATATTCGCAATTTTTGCTAAAGACGCTGCTGCTCTTGTGGCTCGTTTCTTCCCTGCTCCGGATCAGAACTCTAAATCTTTCTTTCAAATCCAGCACATAGAGGAGCCTAATAAAACCTCTCCTCTCCCCTGCCACTATTTTAAATGTTGCCTTTTCTGCGGCGGTTTAATTGGGGACGAAGTGTGGGATTGTTCCTGGATCCTTCCTAGCAGCGAAGGGCGCCCGACTGCCCAGGAGAGACTTCCCCGGATCATTTACTCGAGATCGGATTCCGCCTCCCTCCGTGCCTCGTTGTAACGAGGGTGAAAGCTGTGAATTCTTCCCCCTTAACTCGTTTCTCTCGACTCCTTCTTCCTTGAGCGAGTTGAGTGTCTCTAGTTTCTAGAAAACTCTCAGTGCCATGGACTGCGTCTAGATAAGAGAGATATTCTTGCGGATTTCTCTCCTCGGAGCAGAATACTCTTAAATATAGTCATGCCTTTTGTGCGGCAAAAGTTTTGATCTCCCTAAATCTGTTTTCGGGAGTAAGGCTATTTTCATAATAAGGTATATTTTTTTTAAAATGCTTACTTTATAGATACTACCTACCCCTTTCCCTCTGCCACCCTGCTTTTGAAGAGATATTTCCCCACCCCTCGCCGGATTTGAGACTCGCTCCCCAGCTTGTTTTAACTTGATGGACAGGTAAATGCCCCGTTGTTGCGGTGACACGCGCGCACGCCTTAGCATCGGTTCACTTGTGTCATTTGAGGCAGGCACCTGTGTCTCTGATCTGGGGGAGACACACACAACACACACCAGAGACTGACCTGGCTGGTTGGAGGAAAACAAGCCAGCCCACTGCAATTGCCATAACTAGCCAAGCCTGGTGAAGGAATAAATGGAGGCGTTAGATTAGAAACACACTCACCAACTTTGTCTCCTCGAGCTCGCTACTCCAGGAGGAGCCCGCCCCAGACCCCTCTTGCTGCTCTTGCAGGTAAAGAAGGAGGTTTATAGGCAAGTGACGTCTCTCCAAATATTTGATCTGCGGGCGGGGGTGCAGATGACGGCATCGAAGATAGGGTGGGAACACCACACACACACTCTCTCTTAGGGGGTTACCGTCCCCACGAATGCAGTCCCGACTCTCCCCCTACCCCGCTTCAGTTTGGTGCAGCGTGCCTACTCGGAAGTAAGCCCTCCCGACTCTGCTGCGCGCATTCTCGGCCTGCATTTCCTCCCAGAGCCTGAAGCCGAAGCGACCATGGGCTGTAGTTGCCGCCTGTGATTTCTGGCTCTTCGTTGCGCATTGCACAATCAGGCCAGGATCGCCGTCGGATTTAACCGACCAGATAAAGGAAGTTCTGAAAGCCAAGCTCGCCCCCTTCCCTCCGCCCTCCGGACCCTCCTAATACTATATTGCTGCCCTGTGTGATCCTTTCCCCGACACCCCCCCCCCAGGTATGGATCGGGCGCACGCGTCCAGATACAAACTAGAGCGGCCAGGAGAGATGGCGACTCCGGTTGCAGGGCAGGCAAGCGCCGCGTCTTAAACTTTCCTAAACTCCTGGCCAACCGCCGCGCCGAGGGCCAGGCTTGCTAAGCAGCCACCCTTCCTGCCCTTTTGCTCAACACCCAAGCGGTCTGCTTTCGCTCTGGTGGATTCTCGCATTGTTATGCTTTCCTTCGACCTTCTTCCTTATTCGTTCCTCTGCACAGCCGCCCAGGACTACCAAGGCGCTTGCACGGATGCTAAGAGACCTCACCGATCCTCAACCCCTGACCTAGACCCAGCCCTTTCTGCAGAATGGGGGTGGGGAAGGATGGGAGACACGACGCGCTCCCATAATTTAGCCATCAATTCTCTTCCTATTAGGACGGAAGGTACAGCAGCCTGTCCAGCCTGCATCAGTTCAGGAACAGCAGAGGCGTCATTTTCCTTCTCAGTTTTAAGGCGCAGTTAATGAGAAACTTTTCTACAAAGTCAAGGCACTTTCATCTCTGGGTCTTTAATAACGCGCACGCACACAAACGCGCAGGCTGACAATGGAACCCGCGAATGGGCATCCCGCCTCTTCTTTCCAGTCTCCTCAAACGATTATTCACCTCTAATGTCACTTTTTTTGAGGGGTGGAGGTTGGGCATGGGGGGAAAGAAGTATTTCTCAAAGGCACCCAAAGACACTTCATTTATTTTTCTCTTTAGGCCCTTGCGTACTTTTTACCTTAG